GCTCAGCTCTGTTCAAAGGAAAATGTTAAAATTTCTCCTGCCGAGCTGGCAGTGGTGAAACTGGCTCAYCTCGACCGAGTTAGCCAAAAATATTTTTACGATCTCCGCGCCGTGAACCTTCTCTATGATAGACGTTCTCTGCTTCAACTTTACATATAATATTGAGTATAGAATTCCCTTTCTTACAGAGAAAAAGGAGATTTTAATTTTGGGGATTATGTGGTACACCCTTTTCGAAGAAGTACATTAGTCTATTGGTAAAATAATTTATAATACTTATATTGGGTCGTTTACTAATATCATCTAAGCATGCAATACTGACAAATATATACGAGGTGAATTTCTAATAACAGACAAATTCTGGTAGATAAACATTTATATTCAATTTTAAAGACAATTTATCAAATTAGTAAGCAAAAATCAAACTTTTACGAGCAATTTGTCACAACAATATCCTTGTATAAACCTACAAGTAAGAAATCCTATAATTGTCACCCATACATACACAGGCGAAAGCTTTTAGAATGACAGAAATTACATTTGTATGTTTCTACAATGAACAATATACACCGGCAAAGAAAAGATGCACCAGAGTTAACATGTTTGCCCAAGTATCGTAGCTAGGTAATCAAGGGCCCTGGGGCAAATTAAAAAACGGGCTTCACTACTATGTAAATCAAATAAAAGTATGAAACATACAAATATTTCAAAAATATTAAGCTATTTAAGCTTTTTTGTGCACTGCTTTTTCTTTATTTGGAAATCGGTAATAAGCTACTAGTTCATTAAAATGTTTTTAACTTTTCTTTGCCTTTTTTCTTGAAAATGAGTATCAATACCATATTATCTTGCAGTTTTACTGGCTTTGCTCCTGAATGATTTAAAACTTTACTTGCCTCGCCCAAATTGAAGGTAGCATGTAAAGTTTTGACTACATTATTGATGACGTTCAATGTGCATAAATTCGCAAAACGACACGAAATCGAAATATAGCATTTCTGATACTCTTTTGATAATGTATGCAGCATGTGACTTGAGCTTTTTCACGATATTTCGCGGTATACAATGAGCTGTAGTCGAAATCTATAGATTTGACGCAATTTATTGACTCAACTGACATTAAATATGAGTGGTAGAGTAAAATAAATTTGAACCACTATATGGCCCAGTACAAAAAGTTGATTGACATTAGTTTACTTACTCGAATTAACAATAAAGCACGTCGACTAATAATAAAAGGCGCATATTGTTATCCGTCAAATTGACAACACTGCCAATCTACAGAAAGAGATTGAGTCATCTGAATTGTCATGATTAAGGTGGGGTTGCAACCTGTCATACTTATTTTGAAAATGGGAGAAATTTCCAAAAGTTCACTTTAATCAAGATTTTTGGGAAGGATTCCAGGGTCCTCTGAGCGTGAGGGACCCGGGGCACTGCACCGCATAGTCCCTAGGTAGCTACGCCACTGGTCTGCTATGTAAAAAGAAATGTACATTCTATCCGAGTAGACATCGTCGAAATTTCAAAAGTGTTAATGATTTGGCATTAAAAAACCTTCGGATGAAAATCAACTCTTAAAAATCTATGCCTTATTTTCTGCTT